CTAGAATATCTTGTAATACATTTAAATTATGGCTTTTCTTCCTCCTGTTCTCAATTGGTGATATGCTTTCTTTTAAATATAACGTGTTTGCTACGGTGAAACTTGCAATATGATGAAAATGCGCTCGCATGTCAGATGTTGCATAACTCCTCCAAGACCACATGTTAAGAAGAATTGCACTTCCTCTTTGTTCCTAATTGCCGCAGGACCCATTTATTTAGGCTACGACCCACTGGTATCTTAGCGTCTGCAATATTTTCAAGTAAAATACCTTCTCATCGCCACTGCAGTGCAAATAATGAAACGCAGATTTTGAGGTTAATATTATCTGTACAATAGGGGCCATATTAGTATACTATTTATTTCACGATATCGCTTAATCAAACGCATTTCATTAGAGATAGAGTTATGTGCCAAATAGAACTTTCTGGCCTATTATCCACAGTCTAGATGTTTGGTAAGTGTACATAACGAATTCCGGCAAGCACTGTCGCAATGAAGAAATAGCTGATTTATACAGTAAATGATACGAGGTGCTCAAATACCACTGAGTGACAACCTGCTAAAATGTCCTCGACGGTACCGAGCAAGTTGCCATGCAATACCTAATGAAATGGACTCTCGCAGGGGCTGTGACCTAAGAGGGTTGTCTCAGCGGTCTCGTTGTTTCTAAGCAGACAGGCCCTGAGGGCTGGATTTAGATGCGCGACACTCAAAGTGTTCCAATAATCTCGCTCTCTAACTGCCCCGTCATAAAAAGAAAAGAGTTTACCGTGAGGATCAATCCTCAGACATAATGATCACGTGTCCATCAATTGTTAATAATATCACAATTTGTTTGGCGTCAAGTCTATGAACAGTACATAGCGCATGCGGTGATTGCTATATGTGTAAGGCAATTTTTATTGACTCCTCTTCACCGCATGAACCACATCATGGTGACCCATATTCTGCACCTTATACTTAAAACAAACTCATTGTTTCCCGTTGCTTGTTCTGCATAATTTCTTAGCTTTGAGATGCTTATGGCGAATAGATTCTATATATACACATATACTTATACATACTTAATGTCATTTTAGATTGGATCAAAGGTGGGGCGGCGACAGGTATGTGTTCAACGGCAAACACAGAAAATATCAAAGAATAATGTAAATGTTTCAGGTTGCCGATGTTTCGGTTGGCGAGTCGACAGTTGCTTTTACACCAAAACCACCAACTCTTTAGGAAAAGATATAAAATTTTAAATAATGAGACGGATTAATAATTATGCAAGTGCAATACATCTTTGAAATCTATTTTTGAAAATTCGGCAACGATCGGTTCATTATATTCATACGTATGTATTGTACTTTCTTCAATCGTTATAGCTGCGATATTTTGTGTATGATAGACAAAAAACCGCAAATGAAAGTTTAGAATGTTCTGAATGCTAAAGAATAAAGCGTACTAATTGTATTTTTTGTGGAATCACGAATGGATGAAAGGAGTCACCTTCTAGATAAGTTTCTGAAGAAAGCAGGTGGGAATGTTTTCTCAGAGTCTTTCAATGTCTAAACACTGAACATGGAGGATGAACACGCAAGGGTAAGGTAAAAAAGTTTTTGACGATGTTAAACAAGGGACAGAAGAAGAGATAATTATATGTTTTTTTATTACTTCGACGATCACCTGGAGAATTTTGAACAAGTATATAGATTTATTTATCATCGCTTTGAAGTAAAGATTCCTAAGATTACTAATCATTTTTTGCGTTTTTTAAAAGAATATTTTTTGGTAACGGAAGATGAAAGAATTTCAGGCCAACGTAAACAGTAAATGCCCCTGAAAGAAGAAGAAACGCTCGTCGGAAAGGCGACGGAAGACTATCATATCTGTTTTCGACCGCATTAGCACCATAGCTTCAACATGACTTCAGACAGACCACTGTCTTATGATTGTTAAAGTTCAACCATGATAGGTTCGATGAGACGGTTATCCTTAGTTAATGTTTCCTTAGCTATTTTCCTAAATATTAGTTTTTATTAAATTTCCCATTTCATCATTTGATTTATGGAAAGAAAGTGAAGATTTGCTGCTTCAACTACATCAGCAAAATATCTGCTCTTCAGCAGTGGCAGGAGACGCGAATATGCTCAAAGTAAGTAAGAAATGAATATGGATGAAAACAGAGCAAACAGATGATACTGTTGACGAAACGATGAAAAGCTCTCCCAATAGGCTCCATGGACAACGCTGACTTGTAGAAATATGTTTTTCAGTGCTCCAGTGTTGGCGAGTTTAAAACTCAGACCGTTAACTCAACTGCCCACATGGATATCGTAAGCTTATACAAAACAACGAAGGCACCTGACAAGTTCAGTGAGAGGAATGCAATGCAATCGACAGGCTAGGAACATACATACAGCGTTTCATATGTCGACCATCAGCATGCTTATTTAATGGCGATGTATCCTCGACAAGTTACAGTGCCATCGTCAGGATATGTGCATGTCTATCAAACCTCCCAATGTGAGGGAATTGCTGCTCCTCCAGCAATGTCGTCACTTCGTCCGCGGCTGCTTATTCATACTGATTCTGCGACTATTCACAGTCTGTAAATGAAATGAATTTTATTTCACTTTGCTTTGGCATAAGAACATCGTGATCCAACCCGTCTGTAGTAGAGCACTGAAGTTCAAGTGGAATCAAACATCAGTAACGCAAGAGATAGAAAAGAATTCAAGACAAAACCTTTTCACTGGATATCATCATTACCAGTTATGGCACCGTGTCGTTCACTTTTTGCTGATACGTCA